CTTTTCAAATATATATGAGAAAATGTTTTCTAAGCAGGAGATCCTAGCAAGATCCTAGCGGGTACCTTCCAGTCTGCATTCAATAAAGACACAGGTCTTTATAATACAGGGTTTTAAATTTTTTTTTCTTTTTCTTTCATAAAGACTATATTAGGCCAGTTGGTTTGCCTTATTTCCAAGATAATTTAATATGTATGAAAGAAAACCTTCATAGACCAAAAAAGCACATTTGAATGACCATATTAGTCCTCATACACAAGCATTCTGACCCAACAAATAAACAAAAACACCAAGAACTCATCAGTTTTCACTAATAGGTTTTTATTTACTAAGTATATTAACATATTACATGCCTCATAAAATGTAAATTTGAACTTCAAATAATATAGTTATACTACAATGGCACATTTCAGAATTTCAGAAAGGTTTTCTCTTTGCTTTGCCCTTCCCTCAGTCTTCCTTCAACATGAGGAAAATGGAAGAGAATAATCTTTGGGGTATAAAACAATAAAAAGACACAAAAGGGAGGTTTCTCAGTCAGTCATGCAAGTCAGAAAAGAGGAGGCAATCATCAATGTCAATGTCAATGTCATGACTCAGTACGGAGAGCAAAATTTAGAGGTTGGCACAATTAACCTCAGTAATGAACAACAGACCTCCTGACAAAAGCTCCTTTTTCATAATGAAACAAAATCACCTACTTATCAGTTCTGTAAAGGCAAAGTAGTGGCTTGGATGTGATCAGGTGAGTAAACATTAAAATACTTAAAAACAGAAGACGAGTCAACCACAGATGCTTCAACATCTCTGCATTTGAATTAGGACTGTCACGATTACCTGATGAAATTTTACGTTGATTATCTGATTACACAGATTAAGGATTAGTTTAAAAGTTTGAATGATAAACAGGGTAGCTGCAGGTCACTGTAAAGCTGTGTACAGCAGTCTAAAGATTCTCCACAAGGGGGAGCCATTAGCACTCAAGTTGCCTTTGTGTGCCTCACTAGAGGGGAGGAAACCCACACAAGCAGGATCTCATGAATGCACATATGTTTGGAGTTAGTGTTTGCTGCTGTTACAAATTGTGCAAATAGAAACTAACACACTAACAGGCTACTCCAATAATATTTAGATAAAAGTAAAGAATATGACACTTTAATGTCTGTTACAAGTTTATTTCACATGCTTTAAATGTCTTTAAAAGACATGACCTGGCTTAAGTGGCATTAAACCCCTGTGTGGGAAGTGAATGTACACCACCGCTAGCCTGACACTATCCTTACATTGAAATTCCCTTTCATATGCTTGAGTAAAATGAGCATTATCATAGGGGCAGTAAACAGCATTTATGATTTCTCCAAGTCTCTCAGATTTTGGCCTTGACATTTGGCACTAAATCAAATTTGCTGATACCTGCAGACACCTTAGAAATGCTTATTTTAAATTCTTCTGCTAGTCTTCTTCTTACAGCCTAATGGACGGACACATTTCTATACATTTTTTTTCGTATGAAGTATTTTCAAGGCCTTATTTTTGTCGATTTTGGAATCACTGAAAGACGCTGCTTTGTGCATTATTGTTTGTTGTTCCTGTTTTTTTCATTTGGCTTTAAAAAAAACAAACAAACAAACAAAAAAACAAATTAACCAACAAAGTGTTTGGCAAATTACACAATTACCAATATAATCGATAGTGACAGCCCTACTTTGAATGCCGAGTTGCGAAGAAATAGAATCTTATGTATCTAATAACCCCAAAGAGAGCATTATGTGCATCAATATACAATTCAGAGTCACATATGAATACGTAATGAATGACAAAGTAAGTCATAGACCTGCTGGAAGCACAGGGACTCTCATTCCTGTGCAACACAAGCACTTAAAGAAAAAAAAAAAAAAAAACAAACAAACAAAAAAACAAACAAAAGCTTGTGTACAAGCTTACCAAAGCCTCTCGGTCAGTCTCTTTTTCTACGACGTTAACAGAGTGGTCGAGTCAGTCAGTGAATACAGTTTCTGTCTGAGGAATAATGTATCTCTCTTTTTCTCTCCACTGGTCTCCAATTCAAGTCAGTCATTCATTCCTTTGTACAGTTTTTGCCCTTTTTTTCATTGCACTGAGCAGAGCCAAGTGAGATAAGGCTGGAGAAAGAAAAGGATGACAGCAGCTTGGGGTACAAACAGTGGTTTTCACACCAAGACACATATGAGAATAGACAACAAGAGAATAATGGAAGCAGTTGCGTAATCCTAATGTGCACTGTGACTTAACTAGGATCATATACATAACCTATACTTAGATTTATCAATACCATCAATATTCATAAATTTTACAGTGTTGGTTTTTTTTTATTTAATAAATGGGAACATTTTCCTTTCGTGTTTGTTTTTATGCCTGTAAAACTGACTGTTTGAAGAGTGCTCATGGCTTTTTCTCTCCTTCTAGCACAACTGGAAACTGTCCTAAATACATAACTGTAGTAAATCACTGATTTTAAATAATGACAATATCAGCAATTTTCATTAATTTTTTTCTGGAGTTATCATTTTTTCAAAGTAGCTTTTCGTCCCAACTGTATATGTAACCTACACTTACAGTGCCACTGTATCAAAATCAAAAGGAAAAAAAAAATCTATGGAAAACATTATGGTCCCACTCAAAAAACAGATGAATATAAATCTTGGAAAAAGGTGTAAGGGAGTTGATCCAGTAGCTTTACAATACAATTTCATGACATACATTTCATTCTTTCCAACAATTACGCCCGTGCCTTCAGACACTATTGACAGACATGCATCTTTTGACACGTGCAGCGCCATGAGAACTCTTCTGTAGTGTTCCGAAATACGTCAGCACACAATACAGAAATAATAAAGAAACACACACAATCATATGGATGGTCCAGAAGTGCTAAAGCACTGACAAATAACAATAAGCATTAAGCACACAACAGCAATAAGCACAGTTCATTGTGAAGGAATAACTGGAAGCATTATTTGGCTCATTTTATAAAATAACTACGATTCTGCTAGTTTAGAACACATTATGTGCCATTAAGTGTAGTTTCTTGCCTTCTCTGAAGCTCGTTTAACACGTTTTTCTATCTTTGTTCTTTCTGAACTTTGACAACGATCAATTCGTCTGTAATTCAACCTTTAAAATAGGCCTGTCACAATTATTGCACACTCGCCTGATCGCAATTATTTGAGCTGACAAATTATTTTCCAGATTTCTTTCACAATTATATGTTTACGTCACGACAAACACTGAATTGTGAATCATCCGCTGGGTTGAGGCAAACGCATGTATAAAAGCAAAAGCGGAAAAACATTTATCGAGATGCGTCGTTAAAAAAAAAACAAGGCTTCTGCCTGGTGGTGACACCTTTTCAGGGCAGCAGTGAGTAATGTGTAATGCTTGTTTTTTGAGCTGTTCTGTCATCAGTTGGGAGCCTCTAACAGTTGGGAAACAAGACAGCTAATCAGTCAGTTTGGTCACTTTAGGCTTGTACTTTTAGTAGTTGCATACAATGAATAAAAAAAACAATGTTAATTCAAATGATTTAGATGGCAGCTAAAACGTCATCACAGGACTACCGTAAAAACAACTCAGCCGCATCTGGGTTTACCTGTGACATCACATCAGAAATGTAGTGAACTCCAAGAAGACAGATGTAAAAATATCTAAGGCTATGTTCACATTACAAGCCTCAATGCTCAAATCCGATCTCTCTGACTGGATGGTTTACACTCATTTAGATAAGTGATTCAAATCTGTCATTAATGTGAACGAACAGGCGTCCCGAAATGACCCATGAGCACATCCTATTCAGTAACGTCACGTGAATGAATCACGTTCATCATCAGCAAACAAACTAAAGAGCAGAACGAGCTTCACTGAGAAGATCATTAACTCTGATCAGCTCTCAGCAGTTCATTATTAAAGTGAGACGAAGGTGAAAAAGGTGAGATGAGCTGCTTCTCCACCATTTACAGGCTTTAACTTCTGTTCGGGTGCTGCTGCCATGGTAACGCTGAACGACGGCGCACGCACAGTGGAAAAAAAAGCACATGAATTCCAATCTGAGCGTCACATTAAGGTCGCAGGGCCACGAATTGGATACGTATCCGATCTAGGACCACATATGACAGTGGCTCAGGTCAGATTTGAAAAGATCAGATTTGATCAGGCTGTGTCCACACAAACCCTGAAAACATCAGATCTGATCAACCTGGTAATGTGAACGTAGCCTCAGTAACCGTGTTCAATTTGACAGCAGAGTCGATGAAAAGTCAGTGGACGCCACTTTTTCTATGCATTCTAAACTAACTGAACGTGTAACTAAGGCCACACAACTCGGATTTCACTACCAGGTTTCGTTACTCTGCACCAGCTCAAAGCTGGACTGCTCCATGCAAAACAAGTGCGGTCCTTCTTAGCTTCTTAGCCTTAAATAATGCACACAAAACATCCATTCAACTTTGTGAAAAGTTGTAGCACGCTCAGTTTTGGGTAAACGCCTATACTTACACTGCTTTATTCATTTCAAATTAAACGCATTTCGTTTTTGTTTCCAATTGGTCAAAATGTTTAGAGTTGGGCTGAACAGCATTTTACCGTCTTTGAATATTTCCGAACAAATACTCAAATAACTGTTTTCAAAACCACCCTTAAAACCAACAATTTGAAGCGTTTTAAGTTGCCCATCGCAACAGATACACTACTGCAGAAGGTGGTGCAGTTTGAGGGGAGGTGATATTGGTGCCAGGCATAAATTCAACTAAACGAGGCATATCAAACTGGGGACCTTCCAGGCCAAAGTGCTGCAGAGATTAGCGTTACCCTCATCTAACACTCTGAATTCAGTTCAAATTCAAATTATCTGATGAGCTGAATCAGGTGTTTTTAATGAGGCAGTGTGCTGAAGTCTGCAGTGTTTTGGCCCACTTGACACATGTGAGCTAAACTATCCATAATTTATTTATTTTTTTTAATTTTTCATATATGAACAATCTAAACGAAATATTTTAAGCTCTAATTTAAAGACGAGGATTCTGAATACTAAACGCAGAAAGGAATACCAACATACAGAATAAATATTCAAATTATTTGGGCTACGAGTTTAGCTACAACACAGACAAGATTGGTAGCATAGCAATTCAAGCTGGATGAAGTAGCACACAGTTGAATGGGATTCATTTCGAGAGCATTCTGTGAACTGAAAAGAAGGACCAGTCTGCAGGCTGCCTCGGCCTTCTAAAATCCTGACTGGCTCAGCTGACGAAGCTCATGATTGATTGCCTGAGGGTTTGGAATGCTGTCAGAGACAACGTGGCTCCGGTTCACCTTCGACAAGCATTACGTAAGCTCACCTGCCAAACACAGCTGTTGCTGCGGCTTCGGCAGACAACGACAAGAGACTGGACCCTGGCGACACCCTGCACAACCCACCTGTCTATATCTGTCTGTCCTGCCTCCCTCTATGGCCATGGAACAGCCTGATCCCACAGATACAGACAGGGACATGAATAAGGGAGAATAAATTACACTGTTCTTTAGGGTACGATGCAATAATGCTGATGACAGAAACTCAACGAATGATGGGGAGAATGTGAGAATGGCATGTTCGGAAGCATCAGCATAGTGGAGGATGTCTGTGGATTTAGAGGTTGAACAAAAAGCTCAACCGTGTTTGTTTCATACAGGAAAAATAAAGAAGGCAGCGCTGTGGACGTGTGCTTTGCATCTTTGGCACAGGAGACTGGAGGAAGGCGAAAGTACACAGAGGGGAAACGGAAGATGGGGACTTGGGAGGGGACGGGAAAGGACAAGGAAGACGAGAGAGAAAGGAAAGTGGATGTTTTTCCTTGTCTTTTAGTCAGCATCTAATGTCGTCTGTCATACACTTTTCCTGGAATATGAAAATATCAAATCTGGGAATGCAGACTGACTCAGGACTTTTTTCCTTGTCCTTCAATACGAGTTCCTATTTGCAAACATTATTCCAGAACACGTCGTCTGGAAATGCATTTAGTCACCAGCGTGGTCATCAGACATGATACACAGGGTAAAATATAAATCAAATATTAAAATAAGTAACTGGCATAATATTTAGCATGTAATGGTACATAATATATATGTCTATTTTTCCATCATAATATTTTCCATTTCAGTACAAAAAGAGGACCAGAGCTTGACTGGTAGTGTTGGCTGGACCCAAGTAAGGGTGCTGTAGACTTCCAGAGGAGGGCAGTGCAAGCCTAGCCACAGTCTATGGGACAAGAGACAGTTCAAGTAGTGCTGTCTCTTCTTTTTTCTTTCCGTCAGCAGTCAGAGGGCATTGCCCGCTCTTTTGTTCCAAGAGTTCCTACCGCTCTGGTTTTCGGACAACAGTCTTAAGAAGGAGGGAAAGCCGTTAGTGGCTAGTTGTTACGCATGTGACTCTATTGAAGCGTGTGGTCCTTGTCTATGTAGGGCAGATGTGTGTCAACTCTATTGTTACATGAAAGTGTGAATAAGTGGGAAACCTATGCTTATATCTGTGTTTGCATAAGGAAGATGTCAGGGTAGTTGAATACTGATGTGGTCAAACACCCAGGTTAGATCAATTTTAGCTCGAGCAATTTTGTACGGATGTAATGATTGGATCAGTCATGGCAGAGCGTGAAAAACTGCAGCGTGTTTGTGTGTATGTGTGCAAGTACACGTGTGCCTCAGCTTTCGTCCTCAGGCTGTTGCTGGTCAAGCAGGCGGACGTGTGTGAAGGGGAAATGGCCTTTCTTGCCCTTGCACTCTCCCTCCCACTGGCCGTTCACGTTGATTTTCGTCACCGTCACCATGTCGCCCACCTGCACACACAAACCTCGGTTAGGAGAGCACAAGTTCATCCATCCTTTGCTGTGTTGCTGCTTAATGGAGACCACATGCACTAGGCATGGTCAAATGCACTTTGCATGCATATATACATATTTATGGAAGAATATGGAAGTACGCAGCGGCACATATGGATTACAGCTGCAAAATATGGACAAAAAACTACTATTATGATCAGACGCCTATTGTGATAAGGATACACCTTGCAATGTATTTAAAAAAAAAAAACAAACAACATTATCAGTGTAAAGACTGGCTTGCGTTATTTATAGAGAGGCAATGAAATTTTGGCCACCATAATATTTCTGGCCAGAAACGGTCTTTTGGTTTTTGGCTGAAAGAGAAAAACAGCTGAAAATTTTGACCAAGCAAAAAATGAGCCAATGTGTCAAAATCTCAAACTAATGAAAAATTGTGATTAAAAACACTGTTTGTTCCCTTCGCTCTCCGGCACCCATCAGCCAATTCAAACAGTTTGACCAACAGTGAAGATGTTGGCTGCATGGAGTCATTTCCCAGTTTCTATGAGGGAGCAATCTCTGTTCGTCAAGTATCAAGAGATGATACAACACCAGAAACCTCTCCATCACAGGTTTGATACCCCTTGAAAACAAGATGTCCTGCTCGATATGCAGAACACAGCAAAACAGACGCAGTAAGAAAAGTACCCATTTCAGATTTTGAAATGCTGAAAAAACATCATGTACAGCAATGCCAAAGTGCAAAGTAAAACTAAAATGCCTTGAATGACCAACCGTCCTGTTGTTGAGGATGCCAGGTTTTGTGGCACATACTGCAGCCGGCGTTTTACAGCAACTGTAGGATGTTTATTTAGTCTAAACTGGTTTCATTTATTGTCAGCTTGGTTTTCAGTTGAGTGAGCCCTGAATTTAAGTTTTGGTTTTGGCCAAGGATTTTCATTTCAGTGCATCACCAATTGTTCATTTATTTTACTGTCCACTTATAGTCATATTCAGTTCCACACATTAGCACACGCTTTCACCAAGACAGGTGAAGCCACCCCATCTTTTTGAACTCCTGTTACTCCATCACTGAATAGCTAATTTGCACGAAGCCTCCAGAACACCGTCTGTGCAATCCTCACACAGTGCATGTCTGGAACACGGAGAAAAACGTATCTAAGCACTTAAACAGAATCTGCTCTTTTTGGTCTTCATTCAGGGTGGTGTTGCATCAGTGTTTCCTGGGCTGGACTTTTCCCTCTGCTTGGTTACTTGGTTACCCTAAACTAGGGGTGGAAAACTAGAGGTTTACAATACAATGTTATCACAATGCTTGAACCTTGATATAATTCTACTGCGATTTTTAAAGATTTATATGCTATATATTCTTATATGACACTGTTATATGAGATTTACTCGTTCTGACTGAATTATACTTCCACAACTTTATATAATGAAGATAAAGTTTGATCATCTCACTTCAATCTTTTTGTTTTAAGAAAAACAGAACTGTAGCAACCTTAAAAATTTCCTTGATAATTACATACTTAGCATATCGCTGCTGTCCGAACAAAACCTTGTATCTCCATTTTCATCTTTTTTTCAGTTTTTGACATAATTGGAAAGTGCCTTTTGTCCTTTACATTGTATGTAAATTTCATGATGAACGGACCAAAAGATACGACCCAAAACGATGTGGAAAGAAGTCTGGTTCCCTTGACTTACATTAAAAGCAAAGTATGTTTTTTTCTTTCTCCTGTAAAGTTTCTATTTTGGAGATACGAGGTTTTGATCCGACAGCAGTGATATGCTCATATCTGGAGCATAGATATATCAAATCTTGGACCTGTATAGACACTGCTGTACCATAAAAGCATACCGCTAGGAAGACAACCCATCCATACCTCTAAAGCGAGGGCAGTCTTATCGTAGGCATTAGGCACTCTCTTCTGGATGGCTCTGGCGTACACTGGCCCATTCTGCAGGCTGGGTAGAGGAGTGTTGACCACAGGCTGGGCGTAGTCCAGCTTTGTGGGGACTGGAGCTCCAATGCCATCCGCAGGGGTCCCCAGGACTGCCTGTCCCACAGGAGCCCCCCCAATGGAGGTGGGTGAAGCAGGCCGGTATCTCTCCACATAGGGTACAGGGATCATTCCAGCACGCCCCTCGCTGTTCTGGGCGTTCCACCACTGCTCCTCAGGCTTCTCCAGAACCCGCAGCACGTCGCCCTTGCGGAACGGCAGGTCCTCCTCATCGTTGCCAGGGAAGTCAAAGAGAGCACGCACATACTCTGCCTCTTCCTGCCTCTGGGGAGTGCCAGCAGGCGCCACGCTGATGAAGCTGGCATGCTTGGATCTGTTGATAGGCTCGATAAGCGTGGTGGTGTCCAGGTAGTGGATCTTGTAGAACTCCAGCAAGCCTGGAAGAGTGTCGAACTCCTGGTCCCCGATACGGAAGCGTGGAGACATCAAACCTGGACAGAGTCAGTACTGATTAGTCGGCAAATATGCATGATGATAACGCATATTTTAAACTCTCCAACTGTTCTCTCTTAAGACTTAGTCACTCCAGCGTTTCATCAGCAAATCTGGAGCTAATAAACTTTGTGTGCAAAACTTTGCATTCGACTCTGAAACGTAAATTTGCATCCTCAACTAACAAGCGCTGTTGTGAAGGGGTGGGACTCGTATAGCAGCACTGAAGATCCAAAATAAAAAGGAAAAGCAGGACCCCTAGAGGAGGCATTTTCCCTCGCTGACTCACTTTGTTGAAACATGTATGAATGAGGAGTGTAGCTGGCCCTCAGCCGGCCTGCTAACCGCCATTCGTCCAACAGAAAAAGAAGAAAATAACGTAGCTAGTGTTAGCAAACAGTGTAAGCTAAACAACTCAGCTTTAGCTTACCTAACGCTGTGTGACATGAGAAGCTGGCGCCCTCACCCTAAGCGCTGAGAGGCCGAAGCCCGACCCTCTCCACCCTGAGTAGCCGAGCCAGCACCCAAGCATAGGGCTCGGGCCCAGTCTTCTCATGCTACATAGCATTAGGTAAGCTAAGGCTGAGGCTGCTGTGTTTCATGTGTTTGTGTGTCCTTGCTTGAATGATTATGCTGTGTGCTGCCACAAGTCGTCAGAGAGTTTAGCGCAAGCTGAGGAAGCTCTAATGGCTCCGTGTCAGCTCTTTTTTAGCTGATTGAGCATATTAAGTCAGCATTAGCTGAGACCGAGATGCAGGAAACCAATGAAAAAAGAACAGTGTATTGTGCAGAGTAGCGTTTTATCACTGCGGATGGGCATTTGTTATTCTAATATTCAAATATGTAAACATTAGAATATTGAATATCAATGAAAAAAATTCATTTCAACTTTTATTTTTTTTTTAAATCTAAAACAGCGCACGAAGAGTTCATTAAACTAGGCGATGCAGAAGTAAACAGGGAGAGTAGCCCTGTTATTTGCTATTAAGGAAACTCGAATGGTAGTTAATGCTGCATTCCCCGTTTAAACGGTCACTTAAGTAGCCTTTTTCGCCCACCCAACGGCCAGCTAACGGTGTTTTACTTTCACTTTCTCACACTGGATTTAGCTTATGAGATGGTAAGATGCCTTTGAAATAGGGCTGCAACTGACGATTATTTTTATTGTCGATTAATCAGTTGATTATTTTCTTGATAAATCGATTAGTTGTTTGGTCTATAAAATGTCAGAAAATGGTAAAAAAAAAAGTCAATCGGTGTTTTCCAAAGCCCAAGATGTCCTCATATTTTTTGTCCTCACCCCAAAGATATTCATTTTGGTGTCAATGAGGAGTAAAGAAACCACAAAATATTCAAATTTAAGAAATTTCAGAGAAATAATTCTCGCAATTAATTTAATTGTAGACAACTAATCGATTAATCGATCAACTGTTGCAGCTCTACTTTGAAATTATGTGAGATTGGCTGATTAAGATTAGTACAGGTTTGTTTGGGGTTTAGAAAGTAATGCAGTGTACAGTAATAAATGGTGATACTACTTTTTCTTAGAAGTAATAAGTGGAAGTGGAATATTTTTTGCATAACTACCCCACCACTGGTCAGTGATGGGTCAGCTTCTTGTATTGGCGCATAACCGTGGTTTTGTATTCTTGAAGCAGATCGTGTGTCTAGCTAAAAACTTTGAAAGGCTAATTTTGAACTATATATTTCTGAGCTTGTTAACTTCCCTGTGGGGTGTGTTTGTATATTACTTCCTGAAGCCCTCATACTGGCTTGACTGTAATAAATGCACATACTGCTACAGGCTTTATACCAGTAATACTAAACCTAGAGGTGTGGGGTGTGGGGCTTCAGGGGTGTTAGGTACTGACAACTGTGGCCCCCTCACTTTTAAAATGGCTGCCTGGCATTATGTTCAAAAAGTTGCAGCGGAGAGAATGTGCGGCCTGGCAGTCCGGCGAAACTAGGCTTGCCCAGTCTTGTTGCTTTCCTAACTGGCTTTAAATAAACACATGTAGTAGAAATAGCCTGATACACAGTCAGTTGGTAGAAAGTATTAGATTTCTGTTATTCTACTGTTTGTGACAGGCCAGTTAGCCAGCTTGCTAACTGCCAGGTTAAGCTCCTTGGCTAAATACAGATGCAAACCAGTCATGCTACTTAGCTACAGCTCAGTGTGCAGCACTATGTTCTTGCATGTATGTAATTACCTGCTTTAATTAGGTTTACTTTTGTGTTTTACGTTTTATGGTTAGTGAATTAGACCGCTTTATACCGGCACCAAAACGGAGGATGTTTTTTTTCCATCACCAATCTTGCGGTCTGGCGCTGACCACGCCCATTTTGCAAGGCAGCGGAAACTGCAAATGTGTGACTGCAGCTTCACAGAGACACACCCATTTAAATGCTTTTTGGCCACCTTCTGTCTTTAGTCTTACTCTGAGCTTCTAGTTTAACTTTTTCTAATGAACCTTTTGGAGTCTTTGAAAGGCTATGCACGTTTATTTAACGTTGGGCCTTCATTTAAAACTTTTTACTTGATTAACAGTGAAAAGAAAACCATTTCTAGGTTACTAACCTAATCAACAGACAGTCATATTTCACTGACAGGGCCATCACAAAAGTGAGAAGCCTCTAAATCAGTGGTTCCCTGTACATTTCGCAACTGATCCAACTTATCAGCTAATTAAGGAACTCTTCCTGAACTGAAGTAGGGGTATCAGAGGCAGGGCTACGTCACAGAGTTGGAAACCACTGCTTTGAACTGACATTGAAACGTTTTAGACCTGTTTAAAAGCAACTCTGAGCACAAACCAGGAAAAGGCCTCAGCTGAGAAAAGCCTATTAGGACTCTCTCTTCAACATGCACCATCATGATGCACCGTGAATAGTGCATTAAATAACAAACATCCCTGCATTCCTGAACCATGAATCAGCAGATCACCAAACCTGAACGTGCAAAACCTAAGAGATTACAAACCAGGTAAGTCAACTGACCTTAAAGGTGGGTGAAAACAATGTCTCACGATACTTTAACAACTTTTTACCATACATGATATGAAATGAAGCGTTTTTTTTGACATCCGATAACTTAAACAAGAGATAAGAACCAGTAGTGGCACATTTTAATAACACTACTATGAATACTATGAACTATGAATGCAATGGTTGGTAATCAACATCCTGTTTTGCACTAAAAAAATAATAATAATAATAAAAAAGGATTAATGATGCTCGTTTTGTAATAAGAGAGCCACAGTATGCTTTAAAAAAAAAGCATAGTGATGTCATTTATCACGATAAAGATGACCATCGTCGTATTGCCCAGCCCTAACTGACCTACATACAAGAGCAATGCATCCGTTTAACACAGATTATTTCTAAGGGAACAAATCACCACTGACACTGAAAAGTAACAGAGGTGAATCAGAACTAAAGGAAAATGTGACTGCAACTTGTGACTACTTGCAAACATAAGGAACTTGCCCTTCTATTTCATTCATCCTGTAAGATCCAGCTGTGTGCGAGAGGCGGAGAGCGAGCAGCGGACGAGGCGCGAGATCACACGCATTCCATGAACACCATACCGAACAGTCATCCTGACTGTGTGTCACCCAACCCATTCATTTCTTGCACGAGTCTCTGAGTGTCAACCACCTTGCAGTTCCGCCGGGAAATTCCACTCCTCCACCCTACCGCTGACAATCATTCCTCTATCTATACTTAGGTAAGAACTAACAAGGGACTCACCAACGTGGATTTGGGGATGTGCACAGGTACTAAAGTACTTAGTTAAAAGGTTCCTTGTTCCAATATTTGAATACTGAAATCACTATTTGTGGACTCAACAAGGAAACCCAGGGAGAAAAACAGGCTAACAATTCTGTGAAAGTTATGTTTTAAGGGTTGTTTAAGAGGCTGTGACACACCAAAATCAGTAAGTATGATACATTATACTTTTTTTATAACTAAATGCAAGAATTTTAACATCTGCATGTTGCCAAACAGCACATATTCAGGACTTGACTAAGAAAGCACTGATAGTGCAGCAGCAGCAGCAAGGTAAATACTCTCGCTGCCTTAGCGAGGACTAATAATAATGAGTGCGTTTACATGACCAGTTGAATAATCGGATAACTGCAGAAATCTGATGATAGATTATTGAGCGCATGTAAACTCCATACTCCGATCTAGAAATCCGATAAAGAGAGACAGATTTTAGCTCAGTAATCAGATTCCTCAGTCTGCGCATGTGTGAAAACGGACTGCTGTACTGGAAATAAGCGAGCAGTGTTGCTGCGAAACAGCAGCAAAACACTTTTGGAGCGACGCTGAAACCAACTACATGCTTGACAAAATGAAGAATTTAAATATTCTTCTTCTTCTAGAAGATGTATGTTCATTTTCAGGTAAAGTGGTGCAATTTTTTATTTATTTATTTATTTTTTTAAAGGATTTGCCACGAAGTTCGAGTTTTACATTATGTTTACATCACGTCTTTTATTGAGAGTTTACCGGCCGGTTGCAAAGCAGGAATCTGATTACTTCCTGACTTCTGTAGACCCGGATTTTCTTATTATCTAATCACTCAAGTGCATATAAAAGAGTTGATCGGATTACCGACAAAATCTGACTTTCTGCATTTATTGGATTATTAAGTGCATGTAAACGCACTCAATGAGATTTCTCTGTCAGTGTTACCTCATAACATTAACATTGCAGCACATCATGCACTGAGAAGGAAGGACTCCCTGCAGACAAGTCATCAACTATCGCTGCACCAGCTCTAGTGTTAGCTAATCAGCTCATCTGAAGGGGCAGCCTCTGTACTCAAGTGCAGTGATCAAAAGATCCTACATTGGTATTTTTGCCAAAGACATGTTTTAACATCCACAGCTAAAATTTTCACTCATGCTATACTGAAGCATACTGGCAGTCATTCACTGTGTTTTATGTATTCTGCCTTTTCTTCTTCCCCATGGTAAACCGAATATCCATTTAATAACTCTTACAGATAAGTGAATATCAAAAGTAGTCTGAACACATCCCTAACGGGAATTCTGCCAAATGCCAAGATTATACCCAATGTTTTTCTTCTGCGCATCTGTCAATGCAGATATCCACACTCAGCGGTGGATGTTGTGATGATCCTTTATCATTATCATGGTAAATTATATCTAAATACTTTTCTGAGCATATTGTGGATTAACCCTGCAGGTCCAGACATGACCAAATATTACCACGGTATGCAGTATAACAAGGGTTATATTATCATTCAATAAATGACTACCTAGTGCTCTGCTGAACTAATGCAGTTGATAAACACTAACGTCTGTAGAACGTGTGTAGACGTTGAGTGACTGGTGTTGGAGTGACAGCGAGCCAATGTCGAACATGTTCCGTGGAGCCTGGGACTGCAGTGTTTTGACTAAGCTAATAAGAGCTTAGTTAGCAAGCCAAACGTGCCACACAGCACAGGCTTGGTGCAAGCAAATCAATGCTAAAATGGCACCTGTTTAGAGGACACTTTGCGTGTAGAGCGTTACCAATGCAGTACAATAAATAAGAATCAGACATTTTAGCACAGTAGACCTGCATCACCTAATCATTCTGCTCTTCCGAAATACAATACATTAGTCAAGTATCAGCCTCAACTGGAGATGGCATTTCAGGCTGACATCAGCTGAAAACGCTGGATCAGATACCAGACGGAAAAGCAATGAATTCGATCCAATTCTGTAACATTTCAAGCCTGAAACACCATCGCTCACACTGCGAAATGATGTTCTTAGCTGTTTATTTCTTAAAAACAGCTCATTTTAAAGCTTAGTAGCTTTTAAAGAAAAAGTATTGGATCACTATCAGTCAATATGTAAGGTTTTGATAATGGTATCAGGAAAAAAAAGGGAATCATGCCATCTGTAGTTTATCAGTCAAACCTAAGAATCGGTCCGATGCCAATGCGTGTTTTTGACAATTATCTGCCAATACCGATACGAGTTTTACATCACTGAATACAGCCCTATTTAACTGGTTTAGTTTTACCAAAGAAGGTCTGCTAATGTAATTTGTGTGCGATTTGACTGGCGGATTCAAACGGGATAACGGATCCATGTCATTTCCCCGAATGGTCCAGATTGAAACATCACTGCGTAGATGTTTACATCGGCATTATGCGACAACCGCCACATATCAACACACTGTGGGGATAAACTGGCAAATGGACTAGCACTTGGCCAGTAATGGGTTCGTTGAATTTACCAAATGCCGCCCAACAAGACAGAAAATGCAATGCCTTGCGGGAGGTGCATTCAAGTTCATTCTCCTCATCCTTGTAATTTGGCCATCACCAAAAGTGTTGTGGATTTCAGGAATCATGAACATGAGGATTAAGGAATGGGGTCAAATCAGGCTCCGGTTTAACTGCTAGCCTTGTCTTCAGGTTGCAAAAAAAGAAAAAAAAACTGAGTTGCCGTTTTCTATTACCCAGTTTTGTTATAACATTACTGAGACGTCGATTCGAACACGACCCCTATTATTGAGGGAGCTCCAAGTTCAGTGAATTATAGAAGGTAATTCACTCCACATTATTGCACAGCAGACGTTGTAAAACCTACAAACATGGCAGATTTGTTGGTTTAAAATTACGGATCTGGTCAGTAATCGCTCAAACTACAGCACTTCCCCAGGTAAAACTAATCCAGCTCAAACAGGGCTCGAGACAGAGCCAAGTAAAAGCTTTCACCTCTGATCCTAGCCTGGAGACAGAGTGAGCTGTTTATCTTTACAATGGGAAAACCTTGTTAAAGTTAATCTCAACTTGAGAACCAGTTTTAGCTGCTTTAGACAGCATTCATCAGAAAGGCAGGACTGTTTTAAAGGCCTTCGGGTTGCAAAGTTGGAGACAGGACAGGACAGTGCTAATAAAATGGCTAATACCAGCTCTGTCCACACCCCTTCAAGCAGCCACGTCGGGTGGAAGGGGAGTGGACGCTCTATCTGACTGGGCTAACTTTAAAAATACTAACACGAGTGCTTCGGATTTTACTCACCAAAATTATACACAAAAGATGTAGGTTAACGTTAGAGAAGCAAGGCTGCCGAGTTTAAATACAACGCATGAACACAGACCAACACACTGTTAACGACTAGCTAGCAAGTTCGACACCACAGCCAAGTGAAGTTATGACAGCAAAACTGAAAAAAAAGTAATGCGGCAAATTATGTAGTTTATAACTTACAACGAGGCTTAAATTGGCTTCCAAGTTATTCGAATTTCCCGTTCCACCTTAAATGATGCAGCAGTTACATTCAGGAGCCTCAGGCGCCAGAATGTAACTTCTACAGCATTTAAGGTGGAGCGAGAAAATGGAGCAAGAATCCAACTCCAGCTTCATGTTTAGACATTTAATTGGCAACCTAACATAATTCTACTTCATAAGACTTTCCCAAAGGCTATATGTATATAAGAAGATACCCGAAGGACATTATATGAACGGTGTCAGGGCAGCGTTAGCTAGCTAGCTAAATTAGCTTGCTAGCTCACCAACTTTAGAGTGCTGACCGAACGTGCTAAGCTAGCTAAACAATTCCCGTAAGGTTTAAGTTTTTGTTTTTATTTCACACAGAAGGCTAGCTACAGGGATAACGGTGCAGGTGGTGTAAAAGGTTTAACAGACAAGCATAAAAACGTTTAATTCCACTAAGAGTGAAAGTCCAACTCCTGAAGACAGAGAGAAGGCTATGCTAACTAGCTAAGCTAACTAATGGTTAAGTTAACTTCGAGGCTCAAGTTGGTTTCCTATTCACCAGCTTCTTGTTCGAATTTTCCCGTTCCACCTTAAATGGGCAGCAGTTACCCTCTAGAGCCAGAGGCACCAGAATGTAACTGCTGCACGATTTAAGGTGGAACGGCTGAATTCGGACACGAAGCTGGCGAATAGGACGCCAACTTCACCTCCTGCTACAGAAATCGAGTTGTGCTAAACAACAACCACTGGCGACTCGTAAGAACGAATAAGTTAAATAAGACCTCGTTCAAAATTAGCTGACAGAGTTGTTGAAGCTGCAGTGAACACAGTGAAAACGAAAAGTGATGTGTACCTGATCCGGATTGCCGGTTGTTGCTAATGCTGTTGATTATATAATGGGAGACTTTAGAGTTTTCAGAGACGGAGAGCACATAGTCTCCTTTGATGGTGGTCGAGTCTCTGACCAAAAACACCCCGTGTCTCTGGCCCTGCAGCAGAGCCACGGCGTCCTTTCTGCTCATATTTCCCCAGTACCAGCTCCCGCGGTCCTCGGCGTCAAAATTGCCAGCCATGACTCTGTTCTTCCACACCGGGGCTCTTCCTCAGCTCAGGCCTGCCTCTGCCTCTCCCAGTCAGTCCGTGTGCCTCACTTCAACTCATGCAAAAAAAAACTTCGGCTCCCAGCAGCGCAGCACGCTCCGAGAAAAAGCCCAGCAGCATCGGAGCCGCCTCGGACCGCTTAGCGTTAGCTTCGACCCAGCCGCCCCAAACTCCGCGGAAAACGGCGCTCCGAAAGCGGCCCTAAGTTAGCAGAACTGACTCTAAACTGTTACGGCTCCTCCACACAGCCGACTTTTTTAGTTTAAAATATAACCTCTTTCGCCCAACATCCAACTGTTAACTCCAAAAAACTGAAATGGCGGACGTCGGGGGAATGATTGACCTCATCGGCCGGATGTGAGGTAGACTTGGGTTTGAAAATTAACGCGGTGGGACACACCCGACCACACAGAGCGCACGGGCTTGTTCGCCTGCAGCTCGAAGGGTTGGGCGATACGGCGAGAATATCACATCACGATACTTAAAGTTGAACCGATTTTTCAAAAACATTTGCGTAATTAAACGGTTGAGATGTAAACAAAGTCATTGAGGTTATGTTCACACAGCGGGTAAAAGTGGCACATTATCTTTTAAATGTGATCTGTATGCGACATCAGTCTGAACAGATCAGCTCCTAAACCGACCCGCATGCGCAAAGGAACAGTGCTTCACGTGGCTCGTCTAGAGGTAAACAGTCATGACGGCCAGTGAACGCCAGTCGCTCCCGCAGCTTTCAGTTTCGTCTTCGCCAGCATCACAGGAGCGAGTATAAAGTTCCAGTGGTTGACAGCTGGACTCAGCACCCACAGTGTGTTCGAGTTCGCCGTAAAAGGGCGCGATATTCGGCCACGGCCGCTTCTTTGGTTCGTGTTCTCGGATTCTTTAAACTGTTCTCTGACGCTCCTCCGTCTCCTCCGGCCGCGCTCGGCCATTTTGTTCGGAATCTTCTCGAATACGGAGCGGCTGCGAAACGTCTCTTCTAATGTTTTGGTACAGAAACATCAGCCTAAATGTTTATGAGTCTCAGCAGCGCGGAATTATGTCGAGTTGGACTGACGTAAAAGTCCAAGAATTCCGATCTGGCTGTTCAGACTGAGTCGCATTGCCGCAGATCAGATACGTATCGGATTTCAGTACCACATATGAAAGTGTCTCAAATCGGATTTGAAAATGTCAGATTCAGTGTGTTTATTGCTGTTCACACTGACACACAGACACACATCTGTGTCACATACGGAGAAAAAGATCGGATTCGGGCCACTTTTACCTGCTGTGCAAACATCCTCAGAGTGGTTTGGTGTGAAATGCTGCGTTTTAGAGAAACTTACAGAGTCAGAATTGTTCACAGTGGCGGTGATAGGAACCAGACGTCCACCTCTAAAAGCTCCCTCACATAAAGTTTTTACATGAAATGATTATGAATACTCAGCCTGATGTCTGAGACATTGTTTTATGGTAGTTTTGTGGTAAAGTTTTGGGCTGATAAGAAATCTCTTATGTTAATTTATTCATGGTGGAGGGGTATACGAAGGCTGTTCTAAGGCAAAATAGTCCCCAAAGAAAACTTTTTTTTTCAGATTTACCACTATTTTACCATCATCAACATTACATATGAACACTCAGAAGACATACGGAGGTTCACTGGTGGTTTTGGATAGTAAATAAAATGGCTATATTTATGTTGTATACGTGGTGACCCCTGGTTCCCATCACCACCATTGTAAAGAAATCAGAGTCTGTAAGTATCTCTAGAAATGACCAACTTCACATCAAAACACTCTGATTGACTGTATATATCTCAAGGATTGAATTATTCTGAAATTTTGAACAGTTGGTGGAATTCCCCTTTAAAGATATTTTTACAGTATACAGTACGAATCTTGATATTTTGATACAGAATCGATGCACTAGTAGAGCTGTATTTAAAAACAGACATAAAAACTGGGCCTCATTCAGCAAAATCTGCCGTTTTATCCTAAATTTGTTATTCAGGAAGGTCCTAAGAAAAAGTCTACATAAGATTCATGACGTGTTCTTAGACCACAGAGCCGTTCGCACCTTTGTGCTCTTGAGTGTGCTGGATCTGAACTCTCCAGTGTGCTGGATCTCCAGGACCACGATTGGGCTCCCCAGGGTAGAAAGTAGAATGATTGCAGTTCTTGGATCAGGGCGATAGGGGGCAGTCTAGTACAATAAAAGTATACTGCATTATTACTCATGAACGGTTGAGTGCTGGTTGTACTAATTCAGCTGCTCAGTTTATTTACATCAGTTTTATGCATTTATGTACTTCTTTATTTTAGGTATTTTACAGTCATGTGTACTTCCCTCTTCAAAGGACAAAACAAAAAACACTTGCCCCAGTTGTATCCCTTACAAAACACAGCTGCAGAAATACTGCAAGAAGCAATATTTCTGTAATGCTGCGTCATACTTCTGTAGTGATCTATAATATTTTCATCTCAATATAAGTAGTTACGCATATTATATAATATATAAGTACATATACATATACAAGTAGTTCCACATATCCTTTATAGTTTAGTATAGTATGCTGTAGTATAGTGTAGTTGTATAGTTATGCTGTAGTAATAAAAACAGTATAGTAATTGCTTGAATTTACTAAAAGAATCTTATAGGAATCCTTTAGAAATTTCCATAGAATTATGCCTTTTTCATAAGGAATGGTTACATTCATAGATACATATTAGAGATCTGGAGAGCTGTATTTCTATGGTTATGCATAGTCTTGGCCTAATCTGCAGTGCCAGTGGAAAATTACTTATTGGAAATCCTATTTATTTTAGGTTTAAGCTTAAAGGGGCATTCGAATAAAAAAAAAAACTAGCATTTAATATTTTGTTTATGTTGTGTATTATTCTGTGGTGTAGTATTGCATCCCCCAGCCTCACTCGTTTGATTGAATTCACAATTTTGTATTCCTTTTCTATCCTTAGTGCTGATTTCTTGGATGTGGAGTAAGCCCAGTCTTGTGGAGTTTGCCCTGTCTTGTGGAGTTAACCCAGTCTTGTGGAGTAAGCCCAGTCTTGTGGAGTTAACCCAGTCTTGTGGAGTTTGCCCAGTCTTGTGGAGTTAACCCAGTCTTGTGGAGTAAGTCCAGCCTTTTGTGTTGTTATTTACTACAATACCCAGCATGCATTAAGCATACAACCATTGTGACACCCCCCTTCACCCACCCACAGTGCTAAAGAAATCTGCTAGGATAGCCACCAATGTAGAGGTTAATTAATATACACGTGATATTCAGCTCCTAGCAGTAGGCTTAGCTGTCTTGCTTCATTCTGCTTTAGCAATTCAGCAGAAAAAAAACACAAGCCCCCAGTATCTGTTTTAAAGTGCTTGAAGTTTCTGTCACCTTCAGATTACATCATCAGAAGGGGGTTTTCCTAGTCTTTAAATCAGAAAATCACTCTATTGTGTCATTGACGTAGGAAACGGGTAGCACAAAAAATTGGCCTGTTCTCTGCTGCATTACTCGCTACAGAGTTCCAAACCGCCTCTGGAAGCAACATCAGCAGAAGAACTGTGTGTCAGGAGCTTCATAAAGTGGGTTTCCATGGCTGAGCAGTAGCACACAAGCCTAAGATCACTATGCGCATGCCAAGCGTCGGCTGGAGTGGTGTAAAGCACACTGCCATTTGACTTTGGAGTAGTAGAAATGGGTTCTCTGGTGTGATGAGTCGCACTTCACTATCTGGCACCATCTGTGTTTGGTGGACAAATCTGGGTTTTGTGGATCCCATTAGAATCCTACCTACCAGAATGCGTAGTGCCAAAAAGTGAAGTTTGGTTGAGGAGGGATAATGAGCCCATTAGTTCCAGTGAAGGGTAATGTTAATGCTATAGCATACAAAGACATTTTGGACAATTATATGCTTCCAAGTTTGTGGAAACAGCTTGGCCCATATTGCAGCATGAGTGTGCCCCTGTGTGAGGGTCCATAAAGGCATGGTTTGATGAGTTTGGTATGGACCTGCACAGAGCCCTGACCTCAACCCCCTTAAACATCTTTGAGATGAACTGGAACGTTGATTGTGAGCCAAGCCAAAATCTTGAGGAAAGCCATCCCAGAAGAGTGGAGGGTGTCATAGCCACAAAGAGGGGGGGAACTCTATATTAATGCCCATGCTTTTGGAATGTGATGCTCATAAAGGTGTCAGGTATCCACATACTTTTGGCCATATAGTGCAGATGTATTATAAAGGGATGTGCTTTATTTGGGTGTTTTTAGACACTGTAGATCATGAAATGTCACCTGTTGTCAGAAGTGAGGGAGATGAAAGTCAGAGAAAAGAATGGCGTCTTGTTATGGAACTTGTGAGGGTTGATTAAGTTGAACAGAGCAGCAATTTTTTTTCCCTTTCCTGCAAGCAGTGGCTCAGTGGCTCATTAGTGAGTCTGGCCGGGGATTTAGAGATTGATGGGGAGAGCCCCGCTGCTTCAGACGCTCATCACTAACCGCACGGATTTTCTGTCATGCATGCCTAACAGGCCGGCGAGCCCGCTCCCCCTGCGCCTTCTTCACTGTCTGTCACTGAAGCTTAGCATGGATGCACGGATGATGAAGCGGAGGCTCCTGTTGTACTCGAACACTCATACATGAACACACTCACTCCTGTGGTGACAGACAGGCGACTTCTTCCCCAAAGACTTGCCACTGTTACCCTTCATCCTAGGCTGATTACTGTTTCCTCAATGTATATTACAGTTGAAGGGTTGAAGGGTTGGAGATAGTCTCCAGTATTCAAATCTATATATTTTAATACAGAATATACGGTGAGGGGAAACAAGTTTCAGATGCTTTTGGTTTTTGTTATTTAATATATTTCCAGTGGACTTCAAATTTACACATCACATCTTTTGTCATTGTACTTATAAACATGAAGAAAAAGTATGTATTAATAAGCAAAAACAATGTTTAACAAAGCTTTGTGGTTCAACTGTGGTCCGTTCCTCTTGGCAAACAGTCCTCAGTACCCCAGTGTTACCAAGGTCTCTCTGCTGGACTTGAAATTTCAAAATCCTCATTAAAGTCAGAAGATTGGCCACACCTCAGCCTTTTTTAGGAACCAGTTGAGTTACTTCGGCTGTATGTTTGGGGTCATTGTCTTGTTGACGTCCATCTTCTCCCGTTTCTTGACTGATGAGATTAAATTCTCGTCTAATATGTCACGGTACGTCGCTCCATTCACATTTCCTTCAATGACCTCCAATGCCCCAGTACTGTTTTCATAGAGTCAGCCCCGTATCATGTTGCTCCCACCTTCATACTCCATTGTGGGTCTGGTTTTCTTGGGATCATATCACAACTCTTCTTTCTTCAAACAGAATC